TGAATGTATATCCTCAATATGAATTTACCTAGAGATGATACTTGCAAATGCTTTTCAAAAATTAACATCATTCTGTAGTTTAAATGATGCACTTGGAGTTTTAATGGCTTTCATATAATTATATGAGTCGGTGCATTTTTAATTATGTCAATATATTTGTGTCTGTCTAGTAAAAGAAGTCGAACATTCCCAAATTTGGAACAAGAAACATAAATTTGATACTCGTATGATACAAATGACGCAGTGCAGTCATCAACATAACTAAAGCCTCTATGTTGGAAACATTATAGCTCTGATTAGATCTTCAAGATGCCCAGACATGGTATGCAGATGCTGCAAGAACAGGGGAAAACCCCATGAGACTGAAACTTCAACACCACCAACATTCTTCCGGAATCGTGAAAACGAAACGTAAACCTGAACTGTCAATGTAGATTCTTGGCATTTCAAATTTCCAAGCCAGTTATGTTAGGCGTTGCTGCGGCGACACACTGTAGATCAGACAGAGAGAACGACCGCCAAGGAGAGTTCCGTCGAAGAGGAGGTGGGGATGATCCATTATCAGGAGATCTTTTACTGTCTGGATGTAGAGGTGGATGCAGAGGTGGAAGACAGGAAGTAGGAGGTGGTGAAATTGAGCTGCTCAAGTTCTCCCCAAGAAGAAATGAACCTCGACTAGAGTTAGCAGTTGGTCTCTTTACTGCACCATTATTCTTCAAAGGGTTATTGCAATTCCTATCATTACTATGGGCTAATAAATTCTTGCGCTTCTTCATGAAACGATTTTTTGGCTTTGCAAGGTCCTTAACAGAAGAAACAGACGAGACATCTTCCAGGCTTGTGAAGGACTTTGATTTGCCACTATAAAACATAGATATGCCTCTCCTGAAATGAGACAGAGGACATCACAAGTATATTAGAAATCATATGCGTGAAAAGACAAGATAGCATAGTATTGTCCAATCATACTTGTAAATATGTTTCTCGAGAATGTAGTTTGTATGATGATCTTAAAGACTCATCTAAATCATGTGGAAATGATCTACTACAATAATGGCTAAATATTTGTCACACAGACGAATTATCATTCGTGCATGACACAAACCAAAGAACAATTAACAAAAACTTGCACAAAGCATGGAAGGAGTGTGGAGTGCCTTCCTTTTCAGGCTTTTTGAGAAATACTTTTAACCATTGAGCATTTTCTTGAAAAATGAAACCCTCTCATTTTTTAGTTTAAAGCCCCCAATTAGAGAAGTTCAAAACTTGAACTAATCAAATTATTAGTACAGACTGACTGTCAAGAACTCATCTTTCCTCTTCCGCCCAAAAGACGGATGTAATATACAGATAGATTGAACATTAATTCAGGCTTCTATGTCAACAAACTTCAAGAAATCAAAAAAACACGAAGACAAGAGTAAAAGAGCTATACTATCTAAGGTTACATAGCGCATCCATACTAGGACTCCCTCAAATTTTTTCTATTATGCTCTGTTTGGTTGCTGAGAAGACTAGACAAGGTAGAAAAACTAAATTCGAACATTTTTCATCATTGGAGGATAGTAAAGACAAAAAGCAAGAAAACATTGAAGTGACAACAAAGAAACACAAACAAAAAACCCAATGAAAATTAGACAGAAACAACAACGTGCCTTGATTGAATTCCCTTTCCAAATTTCAAAACGCAAACAACAAGAGTATCCACCACAACAAGGCTCAAACATTTAATATTCTTCTCACTTCCTCTAGCTTCACGAAAACCATACAAAACATACAAACAAATCCAAATTTATGAACAACTTGTGAGTTAAGCTTCAAACATAACTGCTTCTCTTTCTCTCTTGTTTCCAATTTTTCATTTCTGGGGGTTTCTGTATATTATTGAATAATTAGCAAAACAATAGATGCTAATAATACTCAAGCTCAAGTCTTTGTTCAATAAGAAACAGCAATATTCTCCAAACACCAATCAAGCATCAAACTTCAACCCAAATTACGAAAACCCAATTCGCTAATTCAATAAAACTACAAAACCAACCAATTAAAATCCAAAGTAAATAAAAACCCAGCAAAGTAAAAGGTGGCAAATAACATACTTGACAGGCAAAACCTCCTCAAGCTGGTCCATGGTGTCTAAAGGTCCTTTATACGAGCTCTGAATCTCAGCCTCACCAGAGTCGTCGCCCTCCGATGACCCATCAGACGAATCACTGTTCCGACCAACTGAAGACGAGCTACAAGAGTCCAAGTCCTGCTCCAAACGACGATGTTGAGCAAAGCCCTTGTTCTCCGACGAGTCGTAAATCGAGAGACAAGGCATCCCGTGGATGAACCTCGGCCGTTGGATCATATTGCCGCCACCGCCATTTCTGTCTAAAGTAATAGACATGTGGGCTGGTTCAAAGTTGGATGCTTGCATAGAAAAAAGAGTGGATTTGGATTGAAAAGAAAACAGAGAGAAGAGAAATGACTGAGACGGGCTATTAATAGCTGGTGAAGAGCACATGGGGTGGCGATATTTTCTCCATTTTTCTCATATAAATATATACTCTGTTTCTGAGAAAAGTCTATCTGAATAGAAATATGGATAAATTAAGCGAAGGAAAAGAAAAAAGGAGAGAATAAATGAGTGAGGCCAAGCCTTATCCTGATTTGAACAAGAGCTTAAAATATGGGAATATGGGGAACAGTAAACTAAGTTATCTGCTTATTAATTTATCCATTTTTATATAAATCTTTTTCTTTTGGGGTGTGGGGAGATTCTGTGTGTGGTCGGCTCATGGTATGAACTGTGGTGTTTTGATGCTGAACGAGGATTTGGTTGATTCTGTCTGTGTGTGAATGTGATGGCTGGCTCCACTGTGATTTTGATAATGATGAATATTTCTTTACACTTTGCTCTTTAGCAAGCGCCCAAAGTCCCCGTCCTAACCAAAAAGGAAAAAGATGATGGGGTCATACTGTTTTTTTGGGGTTAATTTATTTTAGCTTATCATAGATTCTAGCACATTGGTTGATTTATGCTTGCTTGCGGGTTTCACCAGAACATGGTTTCCCATAATATCTACACATCTTTTAATAATTATATTTTTTGGTAATCCACAAAAATCTCTATTATGCCTTCTCATCGGGTACAAATTCTTAGGTATATACTTGTGTAAATACTTATTCTTTGTATTTCTCTCATAATGTGACTTGGTGGTAGTGTTTTGTTTGTGCACCTCATGAGATGAGTCACGTAATAAACAAGATGGAGAGATTCGAAAAGCAATTGTACATTCGTAAATTGCTTTTTTTCTCGACTATTAGTATAGTATATGGTATTATGTTATATACAAATAATACGTTTAATAATATAAAAGTGGTTTATTCATAACACTTTTGAATCTTAATGAGACGAGTTGAAATTTAGAATAAAGATCATGTATTGTAGAATTTCACATGCTATTTGTACTATATTTACTAACCACCTCTTTAATACAGATATGTCGCACATATAATGATGGAGATCACCTCTATTAAAAAGGTAATCAGTAAATGTGGTACAAATAGCATTATTGTACTATTATATATTCTAATGCTTCTCAAACAGTAAAAACTATAGGAATAGGACGAATATGTGATGATCTATAAACTCGAACATTCTGGAATTGAACTTGTACAAACATAAAAGCATCTAAATTTACTTTGATACTCATAGTTTACGACTAAATGCATGTATCTTTAACTTTAAGATTTTGTATTCGATGAAACTAGGTCTTTCACTAAAAATGAAGTCAATGGTGTAAACTTTTGTGCAACTTTTGTTGTTAGGCAAAGCAACATGCACTCAAAATGAAGTTAAAAACACAAAACATTAAAGTAATCGATGCATCCACCACACCAAAAAAAAAGGGAGGATAACATTTAACAATACCTATAGCAGGTGACAATTTAGACATCGAATTTTCCAAAAACACATAGCAGGTGCTGATGAGGTGCATTTTTTATGTCTCCATGGAATGAGGAGAATTTAGGGGAAGTAACAGATGACGATTTTTAAGAAGCCTTGTAATAAAGTGGGCCCCAACCACATGAAAATTGAATTTGAGTTCTCATGATCTTTCGTCTCTTTCTTTGCCATTGACTTTCAACCTTTGACTTTGACCCTTTTGAAGTCAAGACATTCTCAAAAAGTGAGCCCAACTACTATCCATTAAACTAAGCCCAATAGTGGGCCCAACAACTATCTACGCAAATAAAGCCCAACCCAAATCTAAATTTCCCCTGGACACTTTGAATCTAAATTTCGGTGAGTTTATTCAATCCACTTGTATGTTTTTCATTTTTCTTTTAAGTTGTAGACAACTTTCAAAGACATAACGAACCTAGCGAACCCCGTTCTTACTGTTTCTTTTCACATCCAAATGTGTTGTGTTCTTCATTTTGATTCGTGTATTTCTTTAGGGAATAATTAGTATTAAATATCTGTAAAAACAATAAAAAAATAATAATAAAGTATTAAATATTTAAATTAACTTCATAAGTTATATTGCTTAATAAATACTCATTTATATATTTATTCTTTAATAACATTTTTAAATACTAATTAAAGTATTTAAAAAAGAAATGCAGAGCAGGGTATGGCCGCGCAGCTATATTTTTAAATTATTTTATTTAATAGGTATAGCCGACCGGCTATACGTGTAAAATATTCTAATTAAATAGTATAGCCGCGCGGCTATACTATTAAAATATTCTATTTAGAGGGTGTACCCGAGCGGCGGTACTTTTAAAATATTCTAATTAAAGGGTCTAGCCGCACGGCTATAATGTTAAAATATTCTATTTATAGAGTATAGCCGATCGGCGATATTAAAGGGTCTAGCCGCACGGCTATACTGTTAAAATATTCTATTTATAGAGTATAGCCGATCGGCGATACCTTTATAATAGAATGGAACCAAATAAAGCCCAACCCAAATCTAAATTCTCCTGGAAACTAGAATCCTCTTCCTCCTCTTTTCTCACCCAGCAGCCGCCAAAACCAGTGAGGCACTCATCAGATCAGACACAGCAAGTGAAACCTCGTCGTACGCAGTCGACAATCGCAATGAAGAGAATCGAAACCTACGAGGACTTCGTCAAAGTTCACGGTCTGCTTCTGTTTGGTTGTGTAGTTAATGGAAGTTCCTGGGTTGGCTGAGAGGATGGCGGCGATAATGTGTGTGGATGCTGATTTGAATTCTGATTCAGAAGAGGACCGTTTGAGTGAGGGCAATGCAAAACGTTGCGTTTCGGAGGTACTGGAAAATGAGATTACTGAAGCCAACGGGAACGTGAGGTGGTTGGAGCTTGAGGACCTTGACATCGATGATGAAACGCTGTCGTCCTTAGACTTGTCTACTAAGTGCCCAGTATGTCATTTCTAAAGCTCTATAAACCCAATCAGAAGTGTTCGAAAAATCGGCATAGGCGCTGCCCAGTCGCTAGGCGGCCTGGGCGGGTCGGCTCCTTTTTATTTTTTTCCAGACTTTAAATAAAACCTACCTCAAGCTGCCTCTCTCTCCTCTCTCTCCTCCTCAAGCAGTTCAAAATAAATTTATAATATCATACAAAATAATTATAAATAAATTAATAAAAGAAACGCCTAGGCGGCCGCCTACCGCCTAGCGATTTTTTGAACATCTTGCAGTATTTTTTCTTTCCTAAAGTCTAGTATGTTTATACTTTCAGGGTTTGTTTGCATTATCCTTGTGTGGAAATAAGCTTGAGAATGTGGAAGTAGTTGTTCAAGAAGTTACCAAGTTCAAAAATCTAAGAGCTCTATGGCTGAACAATAACCCAGTTGTACAAAATTGGTAAAGCATGCTTATTAATATTCAGAAAGGTGTTAATGTCTGCTTTAACTGAGCCACTTATTTACTGAGAGATTTTGTTTTGTTTTGTTTTGTTGTATAAAGGGTTTAGGGTGAGATTGAGAGTGAGAATGAGAATAAGGATGAGATTGAGAAAGATGATGAGAGGGGAGGATGGGAGGAAGGGTAACAAAAGTGAAAACAAAAACTTGAAAGTGAAAACAATTTCAAATAGATTTCAATTTTTAGTTTTTGTTTTAACTTTTGTTACTCATTCCTCCCATCCTCACCTCTCATATTCCCTTTCAATCTCATCTTCACTCTCATTCTCGCTTCCGTTCTCCCTCTTTTTATCTATACTACAGCAAAAAAAAAAAATGAAAAATGAAAACTAAAAACTAAAATTGAAATGGTTATCAAACGGGCCCTAATTTAACAGTCTCTTGATTTCAAAATTATTCCAATATATAGATATTACCAAACCAATTGATCTGATGGGCGAACTATGTCGGCCGACCAATATGTAGATTAGACCATTTAATGAACAAGGGAAGCTGCAGCATGTGAGAATGTGAAGATAAAAAGTCCCACATTGGAAAGTGATGTATAATTTTACTACCTGAAAATTAGATAGTTAAATCCAAGAAATAAACTTGCAAGCGCACAAGGTTAATGCAATATAGCCAAGGCAAGTACAAGGTCATTCCCACAGAGACTAAATTAATTCTCAAGTTGTTGTGAATTAAAAACTAATTTAAATCCTAAATTACTCTAAACACCCTAACTAATTAACTTAAAACTAATGACTCAAATAAAACTTAATAAAGGAGTTTTCAAAGTTGGTTTTGAAAGATTTTCTTTAAAAGAAAGTTGAAAACAAGAAAATTAAAAGACAAGATAACGAAGAAAAATGTGAACTAAATAAGTTTGTGAAAGATTTTAAAGAAGCTTACCAAGACAACAATTTCACCACAATTCTTCTTATCCAAACCTTAGCAAGCATACTGTCAAAATTCCCAAGTTATTCGATGATTAGTTCTCCAAAATTATGATTAACTCTTTTCACAGCAATTAACCACTACTTCTTACATGCAATTTATCCTTTGCGTGAGGCATAAATATAAACATATAAAAAGACCTTAGGTTCAATGAGAACTTCACACAATCATACAAACCCCTAAGAGTATATTGTTTACCTTAGGCGCATTCATGAATTTAATCACAAGAAGCAAAACTCATAATAGGCATGGCGTATACCCTAACATGCATCAAATTACTTAACCAAAAACCTAGATGATAGCTAAGCATCAAGATCATTAGTTAAGAAAATAAGCACAGTGATTAAATTTCAACAACATGGAAATTCTAATAGCATGACATAACTAAGCTTTGAATAATTAGAAAAGGGTTACATTGTGTCTTAGTAAAAGAAAATTAGTTACTCATAATCATGGTAACAAAGCAAAAATAAAACACGGAGAAAGAGAAAAGAAAAACCCTTAGAGTTTAGAGGCACGATCGCTCTTCCTTGCTCCACGGTTGAATTCCAAAGTTTCTGGTATATCCTCCTTTGAGCCACCCAGCATCCCCTCTAAAAAAGAACCTAAAACCTAGTTAGACTGGGCCTAAACAAGTGGCCTTACATGAAGACTTGATTTCCAAGTCAGTTCCTAACTGGAAAAGGTAATTAAAACTAAGTTTTCTAAAACTTCAAGGAAACTGCACGTGATCCTCTTTGCAAATACGTTTTGAACTCCTTTCTGACCTCCGAAAATTGCATATGACCACTCTTTGGAAAGCTCTGGATGTCTTCTTTTCAGCCATATGTCGTGTGCCTCAATCCGATGTCGTATGAGTGAGTTATGACCAAAATACCTCTGCTGACTTAGTATTCTACCGGAATTAGTTTAGGCTGAGTTGTCTAATTAAAAATGGGCACCTTAGTAGTCTTCAAAAATTATGAAAATATTCATGGAAAAACTTGAAGATGCTATCTTCCATCTCTAATTGGAATCATGTCAAACTCTATTATGAAGAATATTTGGCGAATTTATACATTTCGTGACTCATAAGCTGAAAAATCAAAAAATAACTAAAATCAGCATCTTTAGTCCAAATTAATTCACAAAACTAAGTAAAAAGAATATAAAATCATGTGAAATTATGAACACATCAGAAAGTTAAGAAAACCTTGCAATAAGGATTTAGACTACTCCCTACATTGCCAATTGGTTTTGGGGTGGAACCTCAACTTCCTTCATAGGAGAGCTTATTTTTTCTTCCTCTACATTTTATTGTTTGATGTCTCATGTTATCATGGTATCAGAGCCAGCTTAGCCCACGTGTGAAAGCCTAACAGCCACATGTGTTCCATATCACCCAATATGTGTTGTCTACATGTTAGGCTTAAAAATTTGCCACACATGCAGGGGCGTATAGAATGAAGGTAAAAAGTCTCAAATTGGAAAGTTAGAAAACCTAGCAATAGCTTATAAGGAGTTGGGCTACTCCCCCCATTGCCAATTGGTTTTGGGGTGGAACCTCAACTTTCCTTCACATCTACAAAAAAAAAAAAAAAAAAACCACAAGAACACAAGCCATTTCACTCTTTGATTGAGCAAGAGTGAAAGAGTTGCAGCAAAGGCTATCATCATGGTGGCTATAGCCAGAAAGAGAGAAGCAAGTCCAACTATCAATCTCTAGGCCAAATTGGCTCACCTAAACAGATACTAAGGATTTTCATGTGTCTTTTTTTGTTTTCCCATTGCCACAAAACATGAAACCTAAAGTCTATATGTCTGAACATGACTTTTGGAGTTAGAATACAAGTTGGAAATGAGTTGCCATTTGGATTCACATGGAGGTGTGGTTGGTGGCAGCCATTACTTGTTGGATACCACATGTAAGTTCTAGCATGTCTTTGTACTCTAACACTAACCTTTGTCAGACATGGTTGAATAATGGAATAGTGATCTTCTTCACCTATGCAGTCCTCGAATTCTTTCTCCAAATGGGGTGAGATTTCTGTATGAGTGTGTGTCGACTGCTATAGGGAAGGGACCTCTATTTATATGCATCACTCAAGTGTTCTACCCATCAAGGAACACTCAAGCAATTCTGTTTGCATTAGGATAGGATGTTTTAATCCATATAGGACTAGGAATTCTCAAAACACTAGTGTTCTTATTAGATTCCCCTTAGACTTGCAGACATGCTCAAACTATACTTCTTGATCAATACAACCTCCTCGATTCATCATGTGATTAGAAGACCATACTTCTCAGATTAAGAAAAGGTATTTTTCTTACAGGCACATCATCGCTGTTTAATCCAAAGTAGGGATTGACATCCAATGTTTCTGAGTACTGCCGCTCCTTCATTGTCATTGCCCTTGTGTGCCAAAGCCATTACGCTAAGCCTAAGCTGGCTTAGCTTCCTTTTCCCTCTAATAATTTGGCCTTCCTTCATTTAGCGTAGGAGCTGTTTAAAGTTCAAACATTTGGAGTGGAATCGATGCTTTCTTCTCAGCAACGTAAAAGAAAATTTGTTTTATTTTGATTGTGTGCGTGCTAAGTTGGCCCCTGTGAGTGGGAATGATGCTGTCTCTTTCTTTTTCTTTCCTCCATTATTATAAAAGAAGAAAGAGCAATACTTACATCTTCTGAACACAGTCACGTACATGAAATAACAGGGGATTCTTTTATTCTCTGTTTTGCCTCACTATACATACGGTGCAGCATTTTGTTTGTGAACATCAGTCAGTTCTCTTATCTGCTGCTTCACTTTTACTTTTGGTGTGTATGAATTTTTTCTTCCAACGAATATTATCCTCATGCACATTGTTGATGCTCAAAATGGTTGGGCCAAGATTGAGTCCAACTTAGTGATGAGGTGTGATGAATGATGGGTGAAGGTTTGGACCTTCAGCATGTATGTGAGGACTTGGCCAATTTATGAGTATACAAAAGACAAGATATATGTGGTTCACCCTTAATGAATGGGCTACGTCCACAGAGAAGATGTTCTCATTATGATATTGTTGAACATCAGTCAGTTATCTTATCTGCTGCTTCACTTTTACTTTTGGTGTGTATCAATTTTTTCTTCCAACGAATATTATCCTCATGCACATCATTTGATAATTAAAATTCAAAGGGATTATGAACTTATGAGCTCTCCCTTTTCAGAATATGGATCTTTCCAATACCGATGTTCATGTTTAAATATATAATGTTTCTAGATGACAAGAATTTCAGAAGTCAAATATGTCGAACATATATCACAAATTACATATCCTGTAGTTTTATACAGAACAGCGGTGCACAACTTTATGCGGAATCTGCCTTTGATCACTGATCAGTATGTAACAAACACAAAATCAAGCATCTTTTTCACATAGGTCTATCGAATTACCAATGTTTTCAGAGCGAAAGATGCAAAAGGAGATGCATTGGCTGCATACATTAGCAGGTGAAAAGCTAATGTTTCTAGATGACAAGAATTTCATAAGTCAAATCTGTTGAGCATGTATCAGAATGCCAAACTAAAGCACAAATAACATGTGCCACAAATGCATATCCTCTAGTTTTATTTAGAACTTTGGTGCACAACTTAATGCAGAATCTGCCTTTCATCACTGATCAGTATGTAGCAAACACAGCCAAACACAAGCTCAATCATCTTTTTTGCATAGGTCTATCGGAATACCAAGTTTTCAGGGTGAAAGATGCTCTGTCCAAATGTTGATCGGATCATTTGGATAAACAAGGGAAGCTGCAGCATGGCAAAAAGAGTCACCAGGAATGTGGCCAGCAAGGTGATTGGGATAGAAACCCAGTTGAATCTGTTATTGAGAACAATCTCAAGAGTTGCACCAAAGGCTACCATCATGGAGGCTATAGCAAAGAAGAGAGAAGCCAAACCTATTATCAATCTCCTTGGTAGTGACTCAAGGAAATCTTCTTCAGCATAACGTGCAGTTAGGATTGATAAAAACATCAACAGGGAAGTTAAAGAAGCGAATAGAGCTATTGCTTCTGAAACAACAAACA